CCGGTTGTATGGTTGGTATTCGTAGGTACCGTAAATTTGAGGAAAATTTCAATTCAAGTGGAAACTGACTGACTGAAAGTTTAAGTAATTATTGAACGGCAATTCAACGAAAACTGTATCGTTTCCTAAGTCATTATTTAAAACGCTAGCTTTTCATGACTTTATGCTTCTTTAGAGAATATTATTGATAAGTCCGATAGTCGTTAATGTCTCATAGAAGTTATAAGATAATTTTTAATCAGTTTGAACCTACAGAAGCTTCTTTCAGCTGTGAAAGAAAATTCTAAATCCTTCTGACTGTTACAAACTTGTCAAAAGTGAATTGATTGACTTGTTGTTATCAGAAATATAAGTGGTGCTAACACGCAAAAACGCATTTCGCCAATTTCCACGTAACCAACTGTTTCTGGCGTCCTACCTAACTATCCGTTCTTTGTTTGTCACGACGTACAAAGAACTGAAAGTTACGCAAATTAGTATATCGTTAGTCGCATACAATATCTTAATTTTCATTATATTGTAATGTACCGAAAAACGTTTGCAACAGAAGATTTCCCAGGACTTCAGTCTGTGAGACGTTTGCATTGAAATTCTTTCAATTTAAATGATGCAAAATGGAATATCTTTTTTAAATTCCCAGTCCGATCTGTTCGCTCCTCATTAAGCTTATAAATATTTATTAGGTCATCCTCCCTTTTCATGGAATCGAGATATTTTTTATGTAGTTGACAAGTTTAATAACGAAAGAGAAATGAAATATATCCATTCTGAGTTTTCCGCGCCTCCGTTGCGATTCCCGACGAAGCTCATTAAGATATCGCGCTCCACGCGTTCGAAGAAGCGAACTAGGGCGGAATCCATTGTTCCTGTTTGTCTGGACGTCATAAATTTTGCAAAGTTTCCTTCACCAGTAATTAACGCCGTTTTCGTACATGATGTAAGAACCAGTGGAGAAATCGTCCGTCCGCCTTTGGCGTCCGTGCGCAGAACGGAACGGAACCACCCTTTTGAACTAGTCGATTTGATTAAAAGTCGACCAGGAGAGGTGGTCCACCCCCTCATCTCATTCTGCTCCGTGTACAGAACTGGCAACACGCCAAAACTTTTTTGCTGCGATTCTCATGCACTTTCTAATTATAACCGCGGCCTAAACAAATAATGAATTGTTTCGGTAGTAATTGTTTTTCTCATTTTCAAGATGCAATTATTTATCTAACGTTTGCTGTGCTCCAATCTGTTTTTACTTCGTATGATAACGAAGTCGTCACCGGAAAGTACTTGATGCAAGCTTCATCAAAATTTTCATTTACTTCACCGTAAGTATGCGTTATATCAAATATGCGGTGACAGATACTCCCGAAATACAGAACTAATACGAAATACGGACAGGTTGGTACAGGGTGGAAATCTGGGGATGCAGAACATTTAATCAAGTGGAGAATATTTATAAAAAGTACATAAAGCGGATGCTAAAATTGGAAAGAAGCACGCCGGACTGATTCATAAGAGATACGAAATGTGGAGAAATGGTGAAGGAGAGCAATCACATAAGAGGAAAAACTGAGGTGATTATTGGAACGAGGCATAAGAAGATAGATAGATGTGGAAAAAATAATCATGAATTTTGGGATAAAAAATTTAGATATGACGATGAAAGAACAAACATTGAAGGAAATTATGATAATTAAGAACCAATTGATGGAATGGAAAATAAGGAAAATGAGTGTAGGTAATATGATAAAGAAAAGTGTTATGAAGTGACAAGAGCGAGAGACTTGAGAAGAATACAAAGGTTGAAATATACGGAAGGGTTGAGAGGGTGGTTGTGGATAGATTGGCAGGGAGATATAAGACTAGAGTATTTAAGAGGAAACAAGAATATAATAGTTGTAACGTTTAGTTGGGGAAAGAATGCAATGAGGACATTGGTTGAATGAAGATTGACTGATAGAATATGCAGAAGAAAAAATGTGAATTTATGTCATGTGATAGAAGAGGGTGTGGAAAATAAAATAGGGAGTGAGCACAAAGAAACATTAGGAGCAGAAGGCAAGGGTGCAAAAAAGAGAAGGGAAGAGTACAATTTTATTTTACTTAAAGTTTACATAAAGGTTTTAAAAAATAAGAATTGTTTTTGTTGTTTTTATATAATAAAAGTTAACTGGTATATTTTGTTTTTTTTTTTGTAAATATATAACTCTTGTTTAATAAATTATGCTACTAACAGTTTCTTTCTATTTTTGTTGGATATTTGTCAATCTAATCCTAAGTTTTCCGCATTTCCCATTTAACAGAAATTACTAGACGTTCTGTTCAACGATTTCAAAAGGAAGCTCTTTATTTGAAAACAGACGTAAAAGTAACGGATATCCGGGGATACAAAGCCGCTGCAATACCGATAATAAGAACGTCGGAAGCTTTTACGTTTCATTACTAAAAACTATCTACCGTAACTGTCTGCTTACTTTACTGAAACTACTAGTTTCATTAGAACAGCAGTTACGGTGGACAACATATTGCTTTTATTTTAGTTCATTGAATCTGCATCCACTTTGTGCAAATTCATTTCATCGTTAGTGATTAAATTAAACCGATGAGGCAATTTCAACACTTTAATTTGCTAGCTTAACTTAATGGTGACAAATGTGTATAAGACCAATATCGAGAACAAGACCATAATCGTTATCTTGATCTTGTTATTTGATCGACTTATTAGAGCTTTAGTCGATCAATAGCCCACCTACTATTGAGAACGTTAAAAAAGGACGATAGGGGTTAGCCAAATTATTAAACCAAACTATGTTCTTTTTCGGATAACCCACCGATAACAAAAAAATATCGATAACTATAACTAACTATCAATAATTATTGATATGTCGATAACTATCGATATCTGCTTCGATACATTGTTAACTACCGATACATCATCATCATAAGGTCATCAGTCCTAAGACTGGTTGGACACGTACCTCCACTCTTTCCTATCCTGACCTAAACTTCGCATTTCCCTAAAACTAGAACAACCCACATCCTTAACTATTTGCGAACAGTAATCTAATCTAGGTCTACCTCTACCCCTCCTAACTCCTGTTTCTGCCTCTAATATGTCTCTGACTAGACCTTCATGCCT